CCCTGAGCCCTTGAGGTTTTGACTTGTGGTGGAGTAACTGTTTGGCATAACCCTTTTATCTTCTGGTTGCCAGAAGCCACATTCAGCTGGAGTGTGAACAGTTGTGTTCTGTGGATGCTATTGTGGTGGAGGCACTCATCGGGGCAGGGCTGGGGGTTGGAGGCCATAAGACAGCAGTTAGCAGGTGCTGATTATCAGGCCCTGCTCCTGCCCCAGCTGCTCACTACTCCAGGCGAATCTCCTTTGAGAAGGTAGTGATATCAGTTAGCGTCCAGCATGTGGCTCAGAAGACCTGGGCTCTCTTACCTGTGCTGTGGCCCTGAATCGGTCACTCCACTCTCAGGAGCCAGTGTCCTCTTCAATAAATAGGTGATCTTGAGCCGGGTGTGGTGGCGCACACCTGTAATCTCAGCACTTGGGAGGCTGAGGCAGGAGGGTTGCTGTGAATTCAAGACCAACCTGGGCTACATAGTGAGTTCCAGTTCAGTCTCAACTACATAGTGAGACCCTATCTCAAAAAACCAAAAAAAAAAAAAAAAAAAAAAAAAAGAGGTGATCTTGGCCTCACTGGCCACGTATGTGAAGCAGAAGGCCAGGAGCTACCCGGGATTTGGCCCCACTGCTGTGCATGTAGTGACACACCACCCTCATTCATTGCTTCCAGCAACTTGCAAGGGCCACGTGCTGAACCTGCTTTAGAGAGGCCAGGTGACTGGCCCAGGCCAAGGCATGCAACTGATAAATAATACTCTAATAATACTCTAATCTTGCTATTTTTGAAGAATGAGAAGATGGCTTTTTTTTTGGTTTGCTTGTTTGTCTTTTGGTTGCTTTTTAGTTGTTGGTTTTGGTGTTTCTGCAGTGCTAGGGGTGCCCCAGGCCTCACCCATGAAAATCACATGTTGTACCTGGAGTTACACCCCTGGCCCCAAGAACGGGAAGTGGGTAGTGAAGAAATTATGGTTGACTGTTGGGCAGGAAATTGTTGGACAGAGCAAGATCTATTTGAATAGTCTGCAAAGAATATCCTTGGTAGGGGGGTCCATTGGGGATTAAACTCAGGTCAGGGTCTTGCACTGAGTTACAGCCCTAGCCCTTTTGAGATAGGGTCTCACTGCAAATGGCTAATTTGCTTAGGCTTGGCTTGAACTTGTGATCCTCCTGCCTCAACCTCCCAAAATGCTAAGATTATAGACTTGCACCACCATACCCAGTCTGAAAATACTTTTTTACATTATGAATACTGCTATATTAATATAAATTCTATATGGGAATTAAATTATAAGGACATGTGACCCCTGCTTCTTCCTCTACAGAAAACAGTTATTTATCACACTTCAATTTTGTTTAGAGTAATACCGACATAAACTTTGATCTTTTAATTAATTTTTATGAAGTAATGTGTGGACTCTTCCTTTAAAACTCATTCTAAGATGCTTAAAACAAAAAGCAGTAGATTCTGCCTCACTCCTAAACCTCAGGTACCTCGGGCACAATAACTTACAATTCCTCTACTTACTTCTTCAGACATTTACCTTCATATTTCTAAATGTACCCATGTTGTTATTTCTTTATACACCAATTTTAGATATTATCTGTTGAATTTTTAATAAAGAAAATCACGTCACCTTCCTCTGCCTCGCCTCCCCATTTGCCATTATAGTTCGGTCACAACTTTACTTAGGTCATTGTTGACACTGTAAGGACAGGTAAGCAGTCTTCCCTGCTGAGGAAGCGTGCGGACTTTGATTCTATTTCCTGGTGAGGCTTTCATCCACTCCCTCAGGGGATTGCATTCATCCTTTACTTGCGTGTTTTTTATCACATGACTCATCTTGGTTTTTCTGTCAGGTTTTCACATCATTTTCCCCCCAATCTTCAGATGTTGTTTCATTAACCTTCCTGCACAGAACTCCCTCCAGGGCTGCGTATTTACCCGCTTTGGCCTAGACCGACCCACGGCGCTGCTGTCAAGCCTGACATCGTCGTGGCCAAATCTCCTGTGTCCTAGGTCCTGTGTCATCCTCCTCTGGGGTTTCACCCTCCTTTTGTTGGAGCGTGTCCTCTACAACATTCTAGGTCGATGAAGGAGAAATATAGACATGTATAGTATACATAAAAAGTCTTTAAATGTCAGAAAATATCTGTATTCTTCCCTTAGAATTTTGAAGGCATTTGAGCAAACAGTACAAGCTCTGAGAAAACAATGCCATTCTGTTTCCTAGCTCCTTCTGTGGCACCTAACCTGTTTTTCTTTAGAAACTATTAGAATTCAGGGCCAGGAATTTAGCTCAGTGGTTCTACTGCTTGCCTCACAAACACAAATAACCAAGTTTGATCCCCGGTACTGAAAAAGAAAAAAAGAAGAAACTATTAGGATTTTTTTTTAATCCTGGTATTCAATGGTTTTGTGATATCCAGCCATGTTCTGAATCTTCTTCCTTCATTTCTTATGTAGGCCATTCAGTAAAAGGACATGTGTGTTCTTCAGTTCAATGGAGTCTTCTTTCCTTTTTCCTAAATAATTTCTTTCAGCCAGGCCTGGTAGTGCAAGCCTGTAATCCCAGCACTCAAGGCTGAGGCCGGAGGATTGCTGCAAGTTCAAGGCCAGCTTGGGCTGCATAGTGAGTTTAAAGCCAGCTTGAACTACACAACAAGAGCCTGTCTTCAAAATAATAATGATAAGGGCCAGGGATTTAATTCAGCTCAGTGGTTCCACCACCTGCCTTGCAAGTACAAGGACCTGAGTTCAATCCCTGGTACCAAAAATAATAATAATAATAATTTCCATTCTATTTTACTTTTTCTATAATCTCCTTCTAGAAATTGTTAGCCATATCTTGTATTTCTTAAATTGATTCTCTGAAAGTCATATATTTTATCTTGTATTTGTATTTGTTCTTTCAGAGGAATCTCCTTAATTTTATAGCCCAGCCCTTCCAATGATTTTTTTTTTCTTTTTTACTGGGCATTGAATCCAGGGTCTCGCACATGGTAAGCAAATGTTCTACCACTGAGCTACACCCACAGCCCTTGACTTTTTTGTTTTCCAGATTCATCTTCATTCTTGGCTTGCTTGTTTTCTCTTTCTTTATCTTACAGATGCAGGGTCCTCTCTTTTCTGTTTTGGGGCTATTATAATTTTATTTGTTTGCTTTAATTTTATTCTGCTCTCAACATTGTCTTATTTCCTCTAAGAACATTTTTCAAAATTCTGTTTTAATCTGTTTTTCACAGAGGAAATTCCTCTTAAATATCGAGCACTCTTTGGCTGAGAATATTGTGAGGAGGAGGAGGAAGTCCTCCCAAGCTGACTGAACACGTTGTGCAGTTACAGTCTGTGAACGTGGAGGAGGTCAGGCCAGAGACAATCCTAAGGGTGGCAGTCAGGTATCAGTGACCAGAGTCTTGTCCTCTGGGTCTGCTGCCTGTCCTGAGGCCTGGACAAGGGCCTCAGGGTTGCCCAGGGGGACCTGCACCTCATGCCCTTCCCTCTGAAGGCCTGATTGTTACGAGGGTTCTGAGGCTTTCAGCCCCTTTTCAGCCAGTAGTTCCTTCTATGGCATTCAGATGAATTTGTTTCCTCAGCTAAAGCCAGTTGCCCACTCCTTCCACTTTGACTTTTAAAAATGTGTTCACATCTCCTACCCACTGAGGTTGCCTCTCTTCAGAATGCATTAAAAAGTAATTTTAATATGGTTTGAGAAGAAATGCGTACAAAGTCAAAGCATAACAACCTTTAATGGAAGGGCCAGGGATTTAGCTCAGTGGCACCATGCATGCCTGCCTGGTAAGTGCAAGGCCCTGAGTTCAATCCCCAGTACCAAAAACCAAAACAAATCAAAAATAAAGTGCTGAATGTTTAATGAAATCTTGTGTGCTACATTTCACCTATACATATTTTCCTGCTTTGTTCAAATCTTTCTCAGGCTTATGTTCCTTCCCACTATCTCTTTGCTTCATCCCTTTTATCCCCAGAGGCCCGCGTGTTAACAGCTAACATGTATCTGTCCACATGTTTATGTTCATGCAGTGATACTCAAACATTTACACATATATTGGGAGGTCTTTTCATCACTTAATTCCATAGGAAATGGGATCTTTCTGTAAAAAGTTCTTTGTAGCCAGGCTTGGTGGCATGTGCCTGTAGTCCCAGTGACTCCAGAGGCTGAGGCAGGAGGGTCGCTTGAGCCCTGGAACTGGAGTCAAGCCTGGACAACACAGCAAGAGCATATCTGAAAAAATTTTATTTAAAAGTTCCTTGCAACCTATTCCTCATCACTCCAAGTGAATAGGCATATATCTGTGTCACTAATTTTTCTTAATGTTTGCATAACATTGTAGGCTACTTGACCATTTCCATTTTGATAGATATTTGGATTTAACTGGAGTCCACATTATTCTGCTCTTGATGAGCATTGAATGCCACAGAACAAAAGGGAAAGCTACTCTCTTTTTTTTTGAAGATAGCAAAAATTTAATTCTAAGATTTGACAAATCTTGTACAAAAAGAGAAAACTATGGGTCAGTCTCACTTATGAATATAGACAAGCAATTCTAAAATAATACAGTAGCAAATTTAATATAACAGAATATCAAAAGGATAGTAACGCTATAACCTGCTAGGATTTATTCTAGTAGTGCAGAGTTGGTCCATTAGCAAAGCATTGTCATAATTTTAACATCAAAAAATTAAAGGAGAAAACCTACAAAGTTATGTTTTAAAATGCTAGAGGGGTATTAGATAAGATTCATGCCTGGGTTGTTCTTGTTTTTTTCTTTGTATTCTTTTAGAGTAATGGGCATTAAACTCAGGACCGTCTCACCAAGCTGTATCCCCAGTGCCTTTTTTTGTTTGCTTGAGGCTGGGCCTTGCTAAGTCAAAAGACTGCCCAGGCTGGGCTCATACTTGTGATCTTCCTGCCCCAGCCTCCCAGAATGTTGGAATTACAGACATGCACCACCTTGCCCGCCCTGTGGCCTGTGTTTAAAGACTAAACATGATGGTAATTAAAGGTGTCTTAGTCGCTTCCCTTGTTGCTGAGTCTCAATACCAAACACCAACAAAAGTGTTTAGTACATAGTCCACCAGCTCCAAGGCAGGGTGGTATGGCACCAAGAAAGCCGCTCTTGTCATGGCAGCCAGAAAGCAGAGAGTGAAGAGAGGAACCGGAGGCTGATGTACTATTTATTCCAGGTCACACTCCTAGTGACTCTCTTCTGACCAGACCCTGGCTCCCAACAGCAAGTCAGCTTTAGCCCCCATGATCGATCACCCTCCAAAAGCCCCACCTATGAGCTCATAAACTTTGGAAGGACACCTAGATGGAAACCATGATTGAAGGAAAATACTCAAATACAAGTGTTCTGTTCATCCAAAACAGTAGTACCTGGTGACAAAACAAGTCGCTTCCATCGTCCTTGGTGACAGAGGAGGAAGCCACTTACCCTTCCCTAGTCAGTGATGGGTGCTCTAAAACCTTCCCACTTAGACCTGCCCCTTTCTTCATGGGCAGCTTCGCAGTGGTGTTTGAGTGGCTACCAAGCAATGACCGTGAGTGACCCCAGTGGAGTGTCTGCTTGCCATTAGGAGAGCGCCCATTTGAAGAGGAAAATGCCAGCATCTCATCCTTCAAATCCCATCTTACAATTTTAAGTGGGAGGCAAAAAGAGAAGGTTCATGGGCTCCATCTCCTCAGCCTTCAGGAGACAAGATGGCGTTGGTCAAGCAGGCAGAGGCAGCAAGAGGGATGTGGCATGGAACAGCCTCTCGGGCTGTTCCAGGAGCACAGGGCCAGCAGGCACAGTGAACCACCAGGAGCTGTACAGGACACCGAGACTGGACCGCAAGGCTGAGAAACTGCTGTCCCAGAGAGAGAGGGCACCAGAGAGGCAGGACAAAAATGAAATAAGCCATTTTAGGTGGACCAATTTGTCTACTTTGTGAATGAGCCCTGAAGCTTGGCATCTTCTCCTCCTCTCAGTCCTGCTCTCTGCTTCCTCTTGAGAGGCACAGGTACCAGCCCCCAGTGTTCTGTCTGCACACATACCAGATCTCTTCATTGGCCTTAAATTCGTGCTTCTGCTCAGCTTCAGCATGTATCTTTCTGCCCCATGTGATGAATCTGGTCAGTCTGGGCAGCTAAGAACTGGAAACACCAAGCCTGAGTTCTGGGGTCTTCCCTGGCTGACTGCCAGATAGAACACGTACAGTCTGTCCTTCAGAAATGGCTCTAGTTAAGAGCCAAGCGTGGTAGCGCACGCCTGTAATCCGAGCACTTGAAGGGCTGACCCAGGAGGATTGCTGTTAGTTTGAGCCCAGCCTGGACTACATAGTGAGACCCTGTCTCCAGAAAAAAAAAAGAGAGAGAGAAGAAAAAAGATTTCCAGCCAGGGATTTAGCTCAGTGGTGCCGCCGCCTGCCTCACAAACACAAGGACCAGAGTTCAATCCCCAGTACCAAAAAAAAGAAAAGGAAAGGAAAAAGCTTTCATTTACTGGGTATTTACTATATGCAGGGTTCTAAAAAGGGAAAGCCATTTATATAAGAGCAGCCATCGGGTTCCAGATCCTGGACACACACTGTGGTTGAACAGTCAGTGAGAGGGTTCTCTGGACACTGCCATCAACAAAGCTTCCTCCTGATTGGCTTGGGGCTCCCAGGGAACTGACAGTGCTGAGGGCCTGTGTAGTCCTGTAGATGTGACCTCACATTCGCACGCATTCCATTGTGAGATGGGTTCTAGTGCAGGTAGAAGAGCGCTGAGAAGAGAAAGGCCACCTGTACACCCACTGCCCTTGGTCCTAGTCCACCTCTGCCCCAGGTCTGTATTCCCAGCTAAGTCTTTTAAATCTTAGCAAGACCAGGACGTTGTGGTAGGAGGATTCTGATTTTCCAGTTGAAGAAATTGAGGCTTGGTGAGGCAACTTGTGAAATTGAGGCTTCGTGAGGGTGTGTGTGTGTGTGTGTGTGTGTGTGTGTACACATGTGTGCGTGTATTTTCCAAAGTGGTCAGCTGGCAGAACTTAAGCCATTACCTGATAATGTTTATCATGAATTTGACCCAGCAGTGCCGCTGTGGATTATTAAGTCCTTAAGAGAAGCAGTAAGTGTAATAATGGTGCTCGTGTTTCCCCATCCGTAAAATGGGGCCGGGGTTGCATTCGCATGTGTCACTGGGGCTGAGGGTGAAGCTCAGCAGTGAATCACCGCTTAACATAGTGGAGGCCCTGGCTTCCATCCCCAGCACCCTAAAAAAAAGGATGTTGAGGATTAGTGACTTTACTAAAATGTAAAATATATACAATATATAATATATGTGTTTTATATATACATCACCCAGAGTGGGCTCAAGCATATTTTTTCTAGTAGATTTAAAGAGGCTTCATGAATTTCCCATAACTGATGCTTAACAAGAGTTGTGATTTTACCACTTTCTCCACCTCTTGCAGCATTGTTATCAAGACTGATGTTTGAAAGCCTCAGGAGGCTTAAGGGACTTTTTAGTGGGGTGCCCCAAGAGAACCCTCTCAGTGCCTTTTAAACTTGTAAAGTTCCTGGGCTGGGGATTCAGCTCAGTGGCACCACACCTGCCTCACAAGCACAAGGTCCTGAGTTCGATCCCTGGTACCAAAAAAAAATTTGTAAAGTTCCTGCTTGAAATAGTTACTCAGAAGGACTCCAGTTCCATTTTGCCACGAACTATACCCACTTCCTTATATGGGAAGAAGATGCGCGCCCCCACTTCCACTGAGAATCGGCCCAAAAGTGAGAAGAGAGTGCTGTGTACATTTCATTCTCCCAAATGAGCCTGGGAAAGGCATCCGGAAGTTTTTTCTCAGCTGTAATTACCACTCTCTTTCTTTCCACAGGGGCTAAACTGCACAGTCAAGAATAGTAAGTCCTCTTTTTTCTTTTCTTTTCTTTTTTATTTTTATTTTTTTCCGTTCCTCTTGTTGCTTTGTTAATGAAGCAATAGGCTCATGCTGATTTCTGGCAGAAACTCTGCCATCCCGTTCCAAGTTCAGATCACGGCTGTCACCATTGACAGGCAAATCTCAGATGTAGGCACCTGCATCTCCTGCACAAAACGTTCATATGCGAAAGTCAGGAAGTGGGAGTCAGTTGTCCTTCTGACAACAGTCTCTGCCCTAGTGTATCTGTAATACAGTCTGATCCATCATCGCCCCTTACTGTAGAGTGAGGAGACATCTGTGGTGTTGCCTTGGTTTGGGTTTTGGTTTGGGGGTGACTTGAGGGCTTTTGTATTGTTTTCTTTTGTGTGGAGAATTTGAACCTAGGTCTTAACGTATTCTAGGCAGGCACTTTCCTCCCAGCCCCTTTGGTTTGGTTAATTCAGGGAAGAGTCTGTTTTAATTAAGGACACTGACATATAAAAATAAAGCAGCTCTTTCTCCTGCCCCATCCTCCTGTGTCCCTGTTTCCAGTCACCGCTTCACCTCAAAACCCACCTCCCCAAATGCCCTATAGACTCAGATCTTGACAGTGACCACAGATCTCCATTACCAAAGAGCCAGCAGGGCGGTGGATGCCAGGTCCTGCTGAGGGTCACAAGGACCCCCTGAGGGTGGACTCAGGGTCTCCCCTGCGAGTCCGTGATTGTTGCCTTTCTCTGGCTGTCAGGTACCTGCCTGGATGGTAGCTGGATCCTCCGTCGAAACCTGACCCCCTCCTCCCCTAAGAATGTCCAGGTCCAGCTGCATCTTGCCCGCACGAAACACGGAGACCTCGTCCCTGTGGTACACATCGAGTGGACGCTGCAGACAGATGGTGAGTGGGGCCCAGCCGGGTCCTGGAAGAGGCCCCCATCTCCATGTGCACCTGAAGTCCAGACCGGCGGGCCTCCCATTCAGACCCAGCAGAGGAGCCCCACCCCTGGGCTCCAGTTTGAGGCTGGAAGGACTCATCATTTCATTCCGATGATACTTTTTCAGTGTTTTAAACATGAACCTACAGTAGCAGCTTCTTATCACACTATCTCTTATGAAAGCCTTTCTTTTGCCCCAAAGTGTTATAACCCTGCGGGGAGGGGCAAGTGAAATTATAGACAAGTAGTAACACATTTGCCACTCTGCCCTTTCCCTTTACTGGGACTGGTACTTTTTAAAATACCCAAACTTCCTTAGGGGAGCAGGAGTCTGATTACAGAAGTGGGAAGATTTGGGCTAAACAGAGTCAGCCCCAGATTGTGAGCAGGGTGTAGAGTCGGTCCTCTAAGTCCCCAGTGTGCCCAGTGCAGACCGCCGCAGCCCCTGCAAGGACAGCAGGTTGGTCGCATGTGATACCATGCCACCTGCCAGCTCCGTAGCCACAAGTTTGCAAAGCTTCTGCAGCCAGCGTAGTGTAAAGTGTCACTTGTCCTCCAGCTGGAAACAGCTGTCTTCGGGGCAGCAGGCTGAGCCCACAAGCCTGCCGAAGGGAACAGGAAGTGGGGAGTTAGGTAAGCAGAAGTGAGTGAGCACAGCAGATGGGGAAGTGGCATACCCAGTGAGCCGGGGGGACTTGACTCCTCTTCCTCCTGACCACAGCCAGCATCCTGTACCTTGAGGGCGCAGAGCTGTCCATCCTGCAGCTGGACACCAACGAACGTCTGTGCACTAAGTTTGAGTTTCTGTCCAAACTGAATCCCTACAAGCGGGTAAGACACAGCTCTTGAAGGTTTGTGTCCCTTTACTGATGCCAATGTAGACTTGTCCCCAGACTGGCACCTTAACTGAGAGTGGTCAGGACTCAGAGGTTCTCGTGGGTCTGAAGAATTCCAGGTGGTTGTGGGGTGGGGGAAGAAGGCCCTGTGACTGAGCCACACCCCAGCCTTTAGCTATCCATTCTTGGGTGGGGGGACTTTGTTCTACCCAAAAGCCTGCTATGGATGGGGTATTACAACAGTTCAGGCCTGCTTGTGGCTGCTGACAGCTAGAGAATAAAATTGATTGTTGTTTCCTTAGTTGAAAGCAGTGGTTCCCAAAGTATGTTTGCTGGACCACCAGCATCACTGGTGAGTCTGTTAGAAATGTTAATTTCCTGACCTCACCCCATACCTCCCTAAACCAGAAAGGAGAGGGTGGGGCCCAGCAGTTGGGGTTTAACGCCCTCTGGGTGATTTTGGTGCCTGAGCAAGTTTGAAAACAGCTGGTTTAAATCTGCAAATAGAAGCTTCAAAACAAGTTAGCGCCTGGGTGTGGTTCAATGGTAGAGCACTGGAGAGCTCTGAGGCCTTGGGTTCCAGCCTTAGTACCATAAAGAGCTAGATTTACATACTGCATGTGCAGGGACGTACACATAAAACAAGCTACATCTTCCAAAGACACAAACAGCAAAGACAGATCCCCCCTGCAGTGTTAAAAGAAGACACGAAGCTCTTCTGCTTGTGAAAGGTGAGCACCAGGTGCCTAGATCTGCTTGGAGAAAAGAGCCCTTGAGGGTGTTAGAAGTAGAGTCGGGGGCCAGAGATAGTGGGGCTCACCTGAGGTCTTGGCCACTCCAGAGGCTGAGGTGAAAGGATCTCTGAACCTAGGAGTTGAGGGCCAGCCTGGGCAGCATAATGAAACACAGGTCCCTCAAAATAAAAAGATCGGGAGTTGGAGTCACCATCTGTCTGTGCTGTCTGGAAGATAACTCAGCACAAACCACCATAACTAAATAAAGGTGCCTGGGGTCCAGGCTGAGTTGGGGGGCTCCAGCTCTCCCTGCTCCCCAGAGGTCTCTGGCTGTCAGGGGAAGAAGGTCTTGGTTTTTTTTGGGGGTGGGTTGTTTGTTTGTTTGTTTGTTTGTTTTTACCAGGGATCAAACTCGGGACCTTGCTCTTGCAAGGCAGGCAGTGGCACCACTGAGCTGAATCCCCGGCTGAAGGAGGTCATTTAACAATAGTCTTTAGCTGGCTTTTTTGTTCCAGGTCTCCCAGCAGCCCTTAGTCCCCCAGCTCAGGTCTCTTACTCCCGTTGTCCTGGAACACTGTAGGGCTGGGGTGGGGCGCCCCTCCACTTTTCCCCAATTCTTTTTTTTTTGTGTGTGTGTGGGGGGGGGTCAAACCAGAGCATGCAAAGCACCTGTCCCATTACCAAGCTCACCCCATCCTCCCATCCTTCCTTTGGATGTGACAGTGCTCTCCTGATAAGGCCAGATAAAGATTACTTAAAGAAAACAAAAGCAGAAAGAGCAGAGGACATAAAAGGATAAGGACAGTGTGCCCTGACTTCGGATTCCCTTGAGGTGGCCGCCTTATACTCTCTTTGGATTGACCTGGGGAGAATGGAGGGGATGACGATTTCTGCACACAGGTGAGTGAGACGGGGATATGTGTGACCCTTCCAACGTCCCTATCTCCCTTTTCCTCAGTGGCATTTTACCTTTGACCACTTCGTGGTTGATCCTGGCCAGGAGTATGAGGTGACCGTTCACCACCTGCCCAAGCCCAACCCTGATGGGGACCCAAACCACCTGTCCAGGAATGTCCTCGTGCCCGGTAAGCACGTCCTCCAAGCCTGTCCCTTTGTCCACTCAGCTCTGGGAGGAGACACCAGTGGGTGCCACTCAGCTCAGTGATGGCTGTTGTTGCTTGGCACGGTGCCCGCCAAAAGCACAGATGCCAGGGTCTGGGAGCCCTTGGTGTAAAGCGGCAGCCTCCGGACGGCAAAGTCTGTTCTCCATTGCAACAACACAGGAGATGGGCCCAGGATCCTAGGAGTTTGATGGGAGCCAGGCTCCCATCTCAGGTCAGGAAATATCAAGAAGACAGACAAGCCACTCTCAGAAGAGTGGGGGTCCTCAGTTTCTTTCTCACTTTCCCTCATCCTACCTGTACTTACCCACCACCCATCTCCTGCGTCCTACTCTGTCCTCTACCCCCGCTAACCCATCCTGCCCATGACCGCTGCCAAGTGTTTCTTCTAAAACATCACCTGCCTACACCTTCCATCCCTCCGCTGTCCCCAGAATCTCAGCCACTGTCTGCAATGTTTCTCATTGGTTTTGGTTTTGGTTTTGCCAAGTTTATTCAAGAAAGTAAAAGTGAAGAGTGGGAGCAAAACTGGCTCTGCAGAGCAAGCTTGGGCCAAGTAAAGGGAAAAAGAGGGTAAAAGCAAAAATAAAAGTACGCACTGCATCTGAGAAATGCAGCATGGGCTACTGTGGAAAGTTATGATAACCAACATTTCTCGTTGTTCAAAGGCAGCTGCATCTGACACCAGCCACTGTAGACAAGGTCTGGGTCTTCCACCCACTCATGTGATGTCCAGAACCGCACAGAGTGCCTTGCATATAGTGGGCAGGAAATGCTGATAGCTCTTTGTTTTGTTTTATGGTGCTGGGATAGAACTAAGGGCCTTGTGCATACTTGGGAAGTGCTTGACCACTGAGCTACTCTGCAGCCCAAGAAATGCTTGCTGAGCACAGTGATGACTTTCTTCATTCCAAAGCACACACATCCATCCATGCACACACACCGTCTGCATTCCCTACTTTACTTCCTGCCTTTTTTCCCCTCTCCTCTACTTTCTGTGTGTGACTTCCTGATGTGATATTCCAGGCTCTTGGCTTGCTTTTTTTGGTGTCTTCTACTAGAATGTCATCTCTACTGGGCAAGAACTTGGTCTTATTCACCACTATGTGTCCAGTACCCAGGACACTGCACAGTATGGCTCAGTAAGTCTTTTGTCAACGAGTAAGTCTCCCAACGTGGCCCTGTCCTGTTCCTAAAGTAGACTGACTCAGTCCTTGTCCCTGTATGGTGACTTACACCTGCCACCCACATATCTTCTTAAACAGAAGTAAAAACATTTTGGCCAAGGATCTGGGAGAAGCAGGAGCAAGGCTGTAACTGTGGAGCCTTGGTCCCCCCAGGCATGGTCCATGGGCGTGGTCCAGCGGCATCAGCAAAGCATCTGAGAACTTGTTAAAATTCTTAGCTCAGATCTGCCGAATCAGAGACTAGGGATGGCAGGGCCCATGGAGGCTTCTAGAGACAGCCTGGAGTAGGCAAGGGCAACCAGGGTGAGGAAGCTGCAGGCAGGAAGAAGAGGCTGGAGGGTACCCGGACTCAGGCCCTCCCAGCGCAGAAGGAATATGATAGGCCAGGAGGTGTCCTCTGAGAGCAGGACCAAGGCGGCCAGGTTGCCCCAGTCCACTGGGCCAATGGAGAGTCCAATCCTGGATTGTGCTGTGAAGAGGCTATCTTGGGACCGGCTCCCAGCAGGGAAGGGACTGTGGCTGCAGGTGTCAGGAGCAAGCTTCCTAGGGCAGAGGCCTAACGATGTCTCTCTCTTCTGGGCCAACAGACTGCAAGGACCCTGAGATGAAGATAACCACGCCTTGTCTGAGCTCAGGTATCTGGCTGGGCTGGCGGGAGGACTTTCCCCTGGGGCGTACGCAGCACAGGGCACAAGGGCATGCACCTGAGCAAGGCCCACACACACACAATGTGTGTACACACATGCATGCACACGTGGAGACACGCGCCCCTTCCCACCCCCAGCCAACATCTGTGCCCTTGGCAGGCAGCCTGTGGGATCCCAACATCACCGTGGAGAACCCAGAAGCTGAGCAGCTGTGGGTGAGCTTCACACTGTGGAACGAATCCACCCACTACCTGATCCTGCTCAACAGCTTTCCACGGACAGAGAACCAAAGCTGCTTCCAGCACGTACAGCCAATACCTGCGGTAATTCCTGCCACCCCTTCCTTTCTTCCTTTTTTCTTTCTTTCCTTCTCTCTTTCCCTCCCTCCCTTCTTCCTTCCTTCCATCCTTTCTCTTTCCCTTTCTGTTTTTAAATTTTGAGATAGGGTCACATTAAGTTGCCTAGACTAGCCTCAGACTTGAAATCCTCCTGCCTCAGCCTCCTGAACACTGGTGCTATAGCTGTGTTACATGACTTCCAGATTCTCTGCCATTTCCTTAATTGCTCTGCCACAGTTCAAAGCCACCTGTAGAAGCCTCAGGCTTCCTCTCTGCTGGTCCTGGCGGAATTGTGTTGTCACAAGCTCAGAGCATCAGGCACAACTGTGGGTAGTTCTGTCCTCTTCGATCCTGCTAGGGTCTCCAGATCTGATCCTTTCCATCTTGTACTTGATTCTTTAGTTGGTGAAATAGAGTTGATTGTGCCCTGCCCACCACCCCAGTCTTTTGTTTTTCCCTCTCCCACATTCTCGCCTGTCCTCCTGGTCATGTCCACTTTATCCTAAAGGGATTTGAAGATTTAGAAAAAGAAAGAAAGAAATGTAGCGATTAAGACATAGGGAAAATAAAGATAAATAAGGTGCAGCCAGGTTAGTGCAGAGAGTGTGCTGTCGGCGCTCTATGCCTGCTGGGTGTGAACACAGATCCGTGCCCTTAGTGCCCAGCAACTGGAGCCAGGGGGAATAACCAGTTACTGGATGGGCTTGTGACTTGATAAAAACCAGTTGCCCTTCAGAAATGTTGATTTTTCTAAATGAGAAATCTGAAAAACATTCCTCCCTCTGGCCCTCTATGGGATGTGCTGGTCCCCAACAGCCTCTTCGTGGGTGTGCTGCGGGAAGCTCTTATTCGACGCCCCCTCCCCATCCTCTCCTCTCCAGCCCAGACCAGAGGAATTCCACCAGCGAACCAGTATCAGGGTCGCTCTGCAGGACTCCAGCTGGTGCTGCCACCACCGAGTGCAGGTAGGCAGGTGTGGTGTGGGCAGGTATGGGAGAGCACGCACAGGTGGGCCTTCCTGCTAGCTCTCTCCAAGCAGTGCCACTGCCCTTTGGGGTTCCCTGGCTGGCAAGATGCCTTCTCTGCCTTTATCCCCCACCCCATCTCCCAGCTTCACCTGGATAGAAATCCTTTAGCTTCTTCTCACCCAGGGGAGACCTATGCCCTCAGCCATGTGGAAAAATCTCCCTTTATTTTTTTAAGAAGAGATCTTACTATGTTGCCCAGGCTGGTCTTGAACTCTTGGGCTCATGTGATTCTCCTGCCTCAGCCTCCCAAGCAGCTGGGAGTATAGGTATGCTTCACCAGGTTTGCAGATCTTGGCCTGGCCACCCAAGTGCATTCCTGGTAAATGGCCTCTGCGGGTGAGGAGGCCCTTTGGTGGATGTGTCTCTTCTCTCTCAGAGCCCCTCTGCCCAGCCCCTCCTCTGCTCCCCCAGGTCCAGCCTTTCTTCAGCAGCTGCCTGAATGACTGTCTCAGACACTCTGTGACCATCCCCTGCCCAGACATCCTGCTGACCCCAGGTAGGTAGGACATGTCTGGGGTGAGTGGTGAAGGCCATCCACTTGAGCTCAGTCCTGACCTGGTCTTAGGAATGGGCAGGAGAGTTAATTTAACTTGGTGTGATTCGTGCCTGAAGGAGAGAGTTCAGAGCCACACTCCTGGGTTGGACTCCTGATTGAGCTCTTTTTATGAGCTGTGCAGCCTTGGGCAGAATATTCAGACTTTCTGGTCCTCAGCTTCCTTGTTGAGGGAAGGCAAGTGGGACTATTACTCTCACAGAGCCATACTTATCCTCACAAACTGAGTCACAATACTGTGAAATAGAGACACCCCTGCTCCCGGGTTCACAGATGAGGAAACTTGTCCAAGGTGACATACCAAGGACATGGCAGGGCCCCAGATTCTTACCTGGGCCTGTGGGGTGCAGCAGCTGACTTCTCCTTCCGCAGCCACATGCACCCAGTGCACACTGATCAGACACAGCAAATGTGCTACAGGGCTGGAAGTGAACCCGGCTCCCGAGCAGGAGGCAAGGCAAGCTTATAGACCACAGCTGAAGGTGCTACGGTCGGTGGTCCCACTGCATTCAGCCCAGTCGGAAGTGCTGGCTGCAGGGTCAAGGTCACTGCGGCCTCGGCACCTGTCAGTGATGGGTGTTGTCATGGCCACTGATAATTAAGAATATCATTTTCTCTTTTTCCTTCTGTTCTCATCGCAGCTTCCATTGCAGGTAAGTGCAGATCTCCTTATTCCCCAGGGCACTCAGGTGCCCCACTGGAGCGGGCAGACAGGGCTGAACTCCAGCCAGCCCAGTGGGGTGGGCAGCAGAGTTCTGGTGCAGACCGGAGGACAGAGCCAGAGTGGGGAGCGGGAGCAGGGCTGGTTCCTGCCCATCCCTCACGCTGCTCTGCCCTCACAGACCACATGCCCCTGTGGGTGTACATCCTCATCACGGGCATCTCCGTCCTGCTGGTGGGCTCCGTCATCCTGATGATCCTCTGCCTGACGTGGAGACTGCCGGGTAAGGGCTTGAGGCTGTGGACTTAGGGTTTCCCCTGTTTGTTGCTTTCTCCACCCCTGGACCATCTCTGTCGCCCTGCATTGGGCACTCAGGGTCAGGAACCCAGAACCCAGCATCAGGCTGACCTAGGCTCCAAGAGCAGCTACCCTGCAGGTTACCTGGGCACGTTCCTTAGCTCCCATGGTGTCTCCTGTGTGAAATGGCAGTTACAGTGATACCCACATCCTGAGACTTCTGTTAAGAGTTAAGTGAAATGATATATGGAATCCCTTTTCATGGAACTCGCTCAGCCCATGATGTTTGCTCAGTATCTGTCAGCCAACTATTGCTATTAAAATGAGCAGAACAGTATTAAAATCAGCAGATCAGGAGGAGCTAGAGGGGATTTCCCTGCATCAGGAATAATCAGCCGCCTGAAGCAGCCCCCAGACTTGTACAGGTGAGGTCAGGAGAAAACAAGGAAGAGCAGGATGTCACAGAGAGGCACATGCTCTGGACCCCGAGCTCTTGGTGTGTTCCTCCTCTCTGCTTTGCTAGCGTCAAGAGCCATTTAACAAACCTTAGCTTTGGTTTTCCTTTCTGTAAAATGGGATAACGCTGAAATGCCTCCCCATCAGGGCCACGGTGAGAATTAAACGAGATGGCCAAGGTACTTTCTAGCAGGGATCAGTCAGTGTCAGTTCCTTCCCTCTGTACCCCTCTGCTGGCCAGCTCCTGGTCAGGGAGAACTTGAGTCCTTCCCTGCTCCTCTGTGACCCCAGGCTGTATTTTCAGGTACCTGGGAAATTGGGGTTTTATTGTGTCCAGGGGATTATTGAGAGATCAAATAACATCTCAGCTAGTACTTTATAAACTACAGTGTTCTCTATAGATGTTAAGGGACTATTTATTTCATTCCTGTTATTCTACTTTTTTTTTTTTTTTACAGTGCTAGGGTTAAAGCCCAGGCTCCCTGCATGCTAGGCAAGTGCTCTACCACTAAACTATACCCTGAGCTGCTTCTGCATTTCTGACCTTTCCTGAGCTGCCCCACTTTTTGTTTTTTGCCTGTATTGGGGATTGAACCTGGAACTTTCACACACACACCTCCTCTGAGATAGGATCTCACTAATTTGCTCAGTTGCCCAGGCTGGACTTGAACTTCGGATCTCCCTGCCTTAGCCTCCCAGAATGCACAGGCATTCACCACCAGACCCAGCTACCTCACTGTTTATTTGATGGTTGTTTTGCCAGTCTGAGAAAAGGCCCAAAGAGTAAGGATTGAAATTAAGGCTTTAAATCTCCTGGTTAGGGGCTAGGGCTATAGCTTAGTAGTAGAACACTTGCTTAGTATGTGTGGGGCCCTGGTTCTGTCCCCAGCACATCATCAACCAGCAGATAAATCTCTGGCTTGGTCATCTGTGGATTCTGTGTATCCTGACTATCACAGAGGAATTTACTCCTCCACACAGTTTTTTCCATCAGATGTCTGAAGGAACAATTGCCTAGGTGTCTGGGTTTCCCTACCTCACCTCAAAAATACCAGGAGGATTTTGCAAATAGGGAGGGGTGGAAGGGTTGAAGGGAGAGCAGGGAAATGGGGAAAAAATAAGAACCAAGATACATCATGTTAAAGTACCAGTTCTCAATGATAAATGTAAATGTATTATACACCTAAAATGTACCAATAAAAGAATTTAAGAGAAAAAAAATACCAGGAAGTGTTGTAAGTGACCTAGTGTGGCAGTCTGTGGAGAGAAGTGTTGTAAGCTATCTGTGTCCCACATGGGCACTTCTAGGGCAGAGCCTTCCCTCAACTGTAGTCTCTTCACAGGAACCAAACTGCAGGCAGGCCAGGAACCGGAACTGTGGCAAGGGGCCAAGGAGGAACCCCCAACCCCACCTGGGGGCCCAGCTGGGCCACAAAATAATCACTGGGAACCCAGCTGACTGAGTGCATGCACTGTGCAGGGCCCTTCCCGTCCGTTATCTCATCTGATGCTCCCACAGACCCATTTTACAGAGGAAGAAGCTGGATTGCCGAGGCAATCAATAGTAACCTTCCCAAGCTATGAAGCTGGTGGCGGCGGACCGCGGCTGCATGCCTGCAAAGGCACAGAAGCCTCTGGTGACCTCCGCAGGGGCAGCTCCTTGTCCTTACCCTTTGTCAGGGAGGACCAGTGCTCCTGAAGACCCGCTGCAAGCTGGTCTGTTGTCTTTCAGAAGGGCCACTCCAACGCATTTCTTTCCCTTTCAGGGTCTCACCACGAGAAGTACAGTAACAGCACCGAAGGCACTGGTCAGTATCCCTAGGCTTACTTGTCCTTGTATCTTTGCTTTTAATGGTGGGTGGTGGGTTCTCAAGCTAGATGGGCGGGTCCCTCCAGGGGACACCCTTTCAGTACCTCCCTGCCAGCACCCCTAAAAGAGGGCTTTCAGGGTGCCCCGGTATACCGTGTGTTTAGTCACTCGAATCTGTTTTTAAAAAAGTCCTTCCCTGAGTGGATTTTTCTATTCCTCAGGCAAGTCTTGTGCCCTTTTTTTTCTTTTTGCAATTAAAGTGTAGGCTGAAGCCCACAAAGGAATATGCAAACATTAGGCACCAACCCGACTTTCCTCCGGCTAAGGAGCTAGGCTCTGCATATGGTCCCGGCTCCTCAAGGGCTGGCCAACAGGGACACGCCCTGCCTGGGCGCCAGGATCCGTGCGTGGCCTCACTCCCCTTGTTTCCCCTAGATGTCCCGCCAGTGGCTGCCCTGACCCCTCCACCCCTGAAGCCCAGAAAGGTCTGGATCGTCTACTCGGCTGATCACCCTCTCTATGTGGATGTGGTCTTGAAGTTCGCCCAGTTCCTGCTCACTGCCTGTGGCACTGAAGTGGCCCTTGACCTCCTAGAAGAGCAGGTCATCTCAGAGGTGGGGGTCATGACTTGGGTGGGCCGCCAGAAGCAGGAAATGGTAGAAAGCAACTCCAAAATCATCATCCTGTGTTCCCGAGGCACCCAGGCCAAGTGGCAGGCTATCCTGGGCTGGGAAGAAGCTGCCATCCAGTTGCGCTGTGACCACCAGAAGCCCACTGGGGACCTTTTCACAGCGGCCATGAACATGATCCTGCCTGACTTTAAGAAGCCAGCCTGCTTCGGCACCTACATCATCTGCTACTTCACTGGCATCAGCAGCGAGAATGACGTCCCTGACCTCTTCAACATCACCTCGAAGTACCCACTCATGGACAAGTTTGAGGAAGTGTACTTCCGGATCCAGGACCTGGAGATGTTTGAGCCCGGCCAGATGTGCCGAGTCAGGGAGCTCGCTGGAGACAGCTACCCACAGAACCCCAGCGGCAGGCAACTCAGGGAGGCCATGGAGAGGTTCCAGGAGTGGCAGATCCAGTGCCCCGACTGGTTTGAGCATGAGAGCCTTCGCTCTGCTGATGACCAGGACCTTCTGTCCCTGGATGAAGAGGTATTTGAAGAGCCACTGCTGACACCAGGAGAAGGAATTGTCAGGCAAAAGCCCCTGATGAGGGAACCTCCCCCCGAGGGCTGTCTGGTGGTAGATGTACACCTTGGTGAGGAAAGAGGGGGGCTGTCAAAGCTGGGGCCCCAGCTACAGCCTCTGGAGGAGCTGGAGGCCTGGCCCCTGAGGACCATGGTGCTGCCTGTGGAACAGGTTCCGGCCACTCATGCCGTGGAACCAGCCCAGCTCACTGTTGGGAGCAGCACAGCCAGCCGGCTGGCCGTGGTGGAAGGTGAGGCCTGCCCGCTGCTTGGGGTCAGCACCCCGCAGCGGAACAGTGTTCTCTTCCTGCCTGTGGATCCCGAGGACTCTCCTCTCTGCAGCACTCCGATGGCATCACCTCATCAGCTGGATGATGAGAGGGAGCAGCTGGAAGGCTTGATGCTCTCACTCCTGCAGCAGAGTCTCAGCAGCCAGGCCCAGGAAGGGTGGGAGGGACCTGTCCGGGTCCTCAAGGGCCCCTGCACACCGTGTGAAGAGGAGCAGCGGCAGTCAGTGCAATCTGACCAAGGCTATATCTCCAGAAGCTCCCCGCAGCCCCCAGATGGGCTTGCAGAAATGGAGGAGGAGGAAGAGGAGGAAGAAGATCAGGACCTATGGAAGCCAGCAGAGCAACTGTCCCCTGAGGATCTGCAGACCCTGAGGAGCCTCCAGCAGCAGCTTTTATTCCAAGAGCTCCAGAAGAACTCTGGCTGGGATAGTATAGGGTCAGAGAGGCCAGCTGCAGGAGGACAGGCCCCCTCCTAGGACCCCCTTGTCCTGAGCCTGGGGAGGGTATTCATGTACACAGGGGTGTACACGTGTGTGAATGTATGTATATATACATGTGTGTTCATGTGTGAATCATCTGCTTTTAAAATGTAGACATCTTCAATGGACACAGTGGCCCATGCCGACAGCCCCAGTTGCTTGGGAGGCTGAAGCAGTGAGATTGCTTCAGTCCAGCCAGGAAACATGGGGAGACCTGTCTCAAAGTAAGTAAATAAAATAAAATGTGTATTTCTTGTCTCTGATCCCTGACTTTCTCCCCTTTGCTTTGTATAACTACCTGGTCATCTGTGTCACCACAGGAAGCCATAGCTACTCCCAGGAGCCAAGGGTTAAGTGGTTCATTCATTAGTTTTCCACCTACTATGCATTAGGCCAGTGATTGTGAACCTTTTAGAGCTTTCAGTGATACAAGCAACCCATAGGTTTGCCACCACTGTGTTAGGCCCTTGGGATACAAGAATAAGTTACACTCAGCATGACCCTGGCCACCAAGGAGCATAACATCCATTGATCAGCAAACAGGATAGCTGTGCGAGACAAGCAGGCTGATTAGGACTGGGGCTGTGAGAACACACCGGACAGGATCCTCACCCTGAGACAGCTCCCAGATGAGGTGAGGTCTGGATTGAGGGGAAGCAGGTTTCCTGGGTCACAGCATTGTGGCTGGAGATGTCCTGCTCCTGAAGGGAGGGGAAGCTGGAGTGGAAGGAGAGAGGTTGTGCAGATAGGGAAAAAGCAAGCGCTTAGGGTGGGAGAAGCCTTGGGGGCTCAAGCCAGGACTGCAGGCTGAGACTGGCTGGGGACACCTATCATAAGAAGAGTCGCTGCCCTGCTGAAGGCCACCCCAGATCACTTTTAGAGACAAGATAGAAATGTATGGTGTCAAACTTAGCGAATCCAGAATCCTGAGCTCACGTCTGGCAGGCAGTCAACAGGAAGGCCATGACAGATGTAGGATCCCTCAGGGCTGCTTGCCCTGGGGCCCCCAGAAGCTGGTAGCCTGGTCCAGGATAAGGTGAGGTACTCCAGTAGGGGAGGAGGTGGAGAAGTGAATCTAGACAGGCCCTGTGGGGGCAAGGAAAGTGAACCGCTAACATTTAAAGGCCTGAGGTTCAAGACAGCATTTGAGGAGAGACTAAGGCACAGTGTGAAGCAGGTGTTCCTGGAGTGCCTTCTTAGGATGCTCTGTCCTGAAGGCATCTTTCTGAGGACCCTGGAGAACTCGTATAAGTGACCTTGAAGTAGCCTGTTCTCCATTGCTTGTGCAATGGTCCTTAACTGTCCTAAGCTTCCTTGAGGAAGAAAGGACTAAAATGTGAGAGAAAATAAATATAGTGGGTGTGTGCATACGCATGCATGTGTGTGCGTATAGGGCCATGAAAGAAATTTCCAATTTAAAAAATGAATAAAGTTCCTGGGCAGCCTATAATCCCAAAACTCTGGGAGGCTAAAGTGGGAGGGTCACAAGTCTGGTACCAGCCTAGGCAACTTAGTGAGACCCTGTCTCAAAATTTAAAAAATAAGGGCGGAGGATATAGCTCAATTGAAAGACCCTGGGTTCACTTCCCAGTACCACACACATACACAAAGTGTAAAGGATTTTCTTCCTGCAGTACTGGGATTTGAGCCCAGGACCTTCACACTGAGCTACATCCCCAGCCCTTTTTTCATATTTTGAGACAGGCTTTCACTAAGTTACTAAGTTCCCCAGATTGGTATGGAACTTGCATTTCTGCCGCAGTCTTCCAGAGTGCTGGCATTACACCCATGGACACCATGCTGATCAGGTAAAATTTTCTAGAAGTTATTTTGAGTCACACATTACTGAAGGTCAAAAAGTCCCTACTGCATTTCCCCCAAAATATGACCTAGCTGGAAAATAATCAGCCTTGAAGACGAGATCAAAATTGCCAGCCCCAATGAGCCTATCCTTGCCTTATTTGCCTTACCGAGTAGCCAGCAAGCAAGAGCATAGTGATGGCAGGTAAGTCGAGGATAGGCTGATAGGGGCTGGCTCTTTTTTTTTTTGCTTGCTTGCTTGCTTTCTTTCTTTCTTTCTTTCTTTCTTTCTTTCTCAGTACTGGGGATTAAACTCAGGACATTACACTTGCAAGGCAAGCACACCACCACTGAACTAAAATCCCTAGCCTGGGGCTGGCATTTTTGATACCTAATTTTCAAGGCTGGTCATTTTTGGCTAGGTCTTATTTTCAGGGCAAGAGGGTAGTTGTAGCATTCTTTCTGTCAGATTTTGCCCAGCAGTAGCAGAGCCACCAGAGGTCTAAGTCTCAGGCTATGGCCCATGCCCAGTCCAACAGCAGCACAGGACCAAATGAGGGAGAAAAGAAACCATCCATCCCAGCCAGCTGTCTTTCAGGCTCCATCTTTCTCCCTGTGGTGCTGGTGGTTAGCATTATTGCGTCTGGATGCAACCAAAATTCCTGTGACCTCTCCCTCACAGATACACATTAAATACCCAGTGTGCGGATCGCCATGGGGGACTCTGCCCTCACTGAAGCCAGGCTCTGCCTGGCAGCAAAATGGCCTCAAGCCACTTGGGCTGGTTCTTTGAAGCATACTTGCCATCTTGAACCCTTGCTCACAAGCCCTGAATTCTGCCTGCTGCTGTTTGAGACTGTAACAATAAAAGCCCTCAGTCGGTGTTATCCCCTACATCGACTTTATATCCAGGGTGCCTGCCTCCCCCCAAACATCTTTACTGAGATAAAATTCGTATCCTGTGCAGCTGGCAGCTGACCCTGTATAATCCGTGACTCAGTATTATTCAGAGTTCAGCAACCGTCAGCACAATTTGAGAATTTTGTCACCCCGAGAAGAAACAGCACCCCTTATTATCACTTAAACCCCCATCTCTAGGCATCCCTAATCTACTTTCTGTCTCTATAGATTTGCCTGATCACACATGGAATCTGAAATCTCTAGGGTTGCTTAACCATTTAATGTCATTGTCTGTCCTCCTCATATCCCCTCTCCCTTCCCCAGAGACTTCTGTCTCCCGCTGACCTTTCCTCACCAGAAGTGCCAGAAATTCTGTCAACCTGAATGTGGTATCTGCTGCTGTTGTTAAGATGCCAAGCTTATCACCAGCGGGTGTTCTGAACCGTGGCTGACAAAACTGGGGAGCTGGGGTAGTTCAGTAGTAGACCACTTGCCTGGCCACTTACCTGGATAGGGGCACTTTTTTAATACCTGTTTGGCCCAGAAGGGGCCAGAAGAGCAACTGCTGCCACCCTCTGACTACCCAACTTCATCACTCAGGGTAGGTAGAAAGCGGCACAGTCTGTGTGGAGCCCAAACTCAAATATGCCACCTGTGTCCAGGCATGGTTTCTCCCCATGGCACCTGCCCATGACCAGTGTCCAGGGCAGACACACACTGCCACTGTGCAAGCTTCTGACCCTAGGGAGGTGTCCTGGCTTTTTCCTGACCTCTTCCTTGATGCTCGTCCAAAAAAGTGGGGAAAAAAAGAGCATAACTAAATGTAACTAGTTGGTGACCTGAGTGTTGCTTCATTTCAAAACCAGTTTCTATTTTCTGCTTAGGAAGGTTCCCAGAGGTGATCGATCTCCCTTTCTTTCTTTCTCTCCTTCCTTCCTTCCTTCCTTTTTCTTTCTTCATTTTCTTTCTTTCTTTCTTTCTTTCTTTCTTTCTTTCTTTCTTTCTTTCTTTCTTCTTTCTTTCTCCTCCTGGGTTTTGTTTGTTTTAAAGGGGGGTCATCTGTTTGTTTTGTTTTTTTTTTTTTTTTCAGTGCTGAGGATCAAACCTGGGGCTTTGGGTATAAACCTCTCTACCCTTAAGCCACACCCCAAGCTGTGGGTTTTAAGGCTCTGTTCAGTTACTTAGACATCTAGCCAGCAGTATGAGCTGGGTTCGGTGAGTGCAAAGGTGTGATGGATTTTACATAGTTGTCACTTATCTTTGAAAATTAAATCAGGCACAAGGGAGAAATGAAGAATTTGCAGTGTAGTGGATCGTTTTCATTCTCTGGTGCCTGGACTCTGCAATTCATGTTCTCCCATCCTGATAAATCAGGAGCCCAAGTATGCTTAGCTCAGAGTAAATGCAGGGCTGGTCCTGCAACCTGGGTCTCATGTCACAAGTCAGACATATTGGGACAGAAAGGTTCCCTACAAAAAGGAGACAGTTACCACGGGGCTGAGATGCTGGCCCTGCTGTTCAACAACTCAGCCACCTCGATTAAGCCACCTCCCCAGGCCTCAGCTTGCTCATGCCTACAATGGCGTGGCAGGAGTGCCTGCTTCCTAGGGTGGACTCCAGAGAGAAGCACTAGCGTCCTGCACCCAGGAAGCGCTCTGTGCTCTTAGCCACTACCAGGTCCCCCACCACACTGCTGCTCTTGGAAGAAGCCCAGCGGCTCCTCAGTTCTCCATGCCTCTCTCCTGACTCAGGTCGGGCATCTTGTGCACCCTGGCATGCTGTTTAGCCTCTTTTCCTGCTGCTATTTATTCTCTCCCTCTCATGTTTGCTTTTTCAGATTCAAAAAGCAATCTATGTGATAATATCTGGTGTACATTAGGAGTTGAATACGTGTGTCATCTGAGTGAATAAGCTTATTGTGGAAAAATGGCAAGAATACAGATCCTGCGGGGTTATATTCTAGACAAATACACAGTAGAATCCCTGCCTGTGGGCAGAAGCTGCCAAGGTGGGTGTGCCCCTGGCTTCCCGTTATGTCACCCCCAGTGACTCCCACGACCATCTTGCTTTTGGCCTCTCCCAGATCCTGGCCCCAGGTCTACATCCTGGTATCAGGTGGGTGGCCACCCCCATGGAGCCAGCCTTGTGTATTAATGGAACCCGGACTCCCCTATGTGACTGGAAAGGTGACAAGAAGCCTTGTCTAGTGTGTCCCCACCTACTTTGGCACCTCAGTTCCTTCCAGACTCTCAGCTGCTCACACCTCAGTAGGAGCTGCCTGACTGGATCCCTCCCGTCTGACCCAAGGGAAAGATACAGTGAGGCCCGAAAAGCAAAGGCTGGAGGGGCCGTGAG